CGATGGCGATCTTATTCGATTGCATATTTCGTCTTAGTTGGTGTTTGGTCGCGGGCGTGCACAGTGACAAGTGAAACCGACATTGCACCAAGACGAGATCCAGCATTCATATCGCGCGACGCATCAAAGCAAAAGACTGCGACAACAACTAAAGTTGATGGCTATCCAGTGTGCTTGGGCGCGCGACAAAGACATCGGACGTTCGGCGAATGGTCCCGAAGCGTTCGGACCAAAGCCCGCGTTCGGCGTTCGTCAAACTTGATGTGTAGTTCGAGATCCCCTTGTGTCGTTCGGTGAAAAGGCGTCGATATACCGTATTCTTACGACAGGCTCTATTGCACGCGATGGTTGTCGAGTGCATTCATTACATGGAAAAACGACAGAAATGGTAGGCTGCAAGACAAAGTGAAATTCCCTGTTGACGGTGATGCTACAAAAAACGATGTGTAGCAGGAAAAAGGACCAAAATCAGCCAGCGAGTTGAGGAGTTGCCGCACCTCGAGTCGCGCGATCGTTCTTCAAAGGAGTACTGTACTAGTACAGTACCTAGTTCGATGTAGACACTGTCGTTGGACGCTTCACATCCTCCTCAACAACGTACTACGTAGTAGTACGTAGATCCCATGAGCCAATCTTCAGTATTTTACAAGTACTATTGGCAAGGTCACGCTTCAGATTCGAGCCTTGCATCTACTGTATATGAGATTCACGACAACTCGTCCGTCACAAGGCCTTTCCGCTCTTGGCATTCTTTTGCAGCCACGGAATAAAGTACTTTGGTCGTCACATCGTTGCGTCTTGGAGACGTTTGAGATTGCATAGCAGCGACGATCGACGTTTGCAAGCGCACGCTCACTGTCGTTGCTCAGCTGCTCCACTGCGTATCCTTGCGGTGCCGCAACCTACTTGTGCCTAAAACCCGCGCCCAAAGCCGGGACGTCCAGTCGTGTCCAGTTTGAGAAACTCGGACGCACAATATTTCTCGTTGGATGGTACATTTTTGTAATGAAAACGCATTGCATTCTTGGATTCGCCAGATTCGGTCTTGTAATCGCGTTGCTGGGGATGTGCGATTGCATGGTTCTCAACCACTCTCGACCAAACATGTGGCAAGCGACTGAGAAGCAGCCACTTGGGCATACCACGTTACAACTTCAAGTTCACTCGTTGTTCAAGCGTCCTTTTTACGTGCAAACGGGCTCGATTAAACGCGTTCAACCCAACATGCCGGTAGCAGAACGCGACGATCGAGCGCAACAACGACCGTCCAAGTCATCCCGCTGTCGTCTTGCATATTCACCGCCCTCGACAAGTCCTCAAACATTACTCTCGAGCGCGCACAGCAAACGCTGTCTACGGTTCTTCGCTTGCTCGCGTCGTCCTCCAAAATGGTCCCGTCCACGACAGCACGAGTACACGGATACTACGTGTCCATAGGGATGTATACTGCGCATGCGTAGAGTACGGTGGGCTCGAATGCCTCTGCAGGTTGCCTCCGCATTGCTCGGGCCGTGAGTATGTACGTCTTGGCATGACACACAGTGTGAAGCGATCTGCAATTTTATATAAAACCTCGTTGAACGCAAGGTTTAAACCATTAAACCGCAATGCACGTCGCTCGTCGCACGTGCATCTGATTCCGTCCATGCGAGATTCGCACGTGTAGAAGCCTCTGCCACACCTCCTTTGCGGTCGAGAGGGTGCTGCGGTCGAAAGGGTGCAAATCGGACGCATGCCCACCGAGACGAGGCCGCTGCTGCAGCGCCGGGACGCGCCCGCGCACCTGTACCAGTACGACTAAAGCCTTGCGTCCCCGCCATTGTTCGGCCCTGATCGCGTCGCACGCTGGTTTGGGTGCCTTCAACCTAACGTACACGTTACCAATTCTCCAGATGTTGTCGGGTGGCTTGGCCCGCGCCAGGTGCTCCCTCCGGCTTCTACCGGTACGTTGGTCGTCGGCCAGCGTTTTTTTTGTCTGGAATCACTTTCCATTTCGGCAGCCATGGTCGCCATCTACCTCGCCTCGTTCGCGGCCCTTTTCGGGTTTGCGGCCGCCGAGTGCGCGCCGGGTGTCGGCGAGCGCGCGCCCACGGCCCACGTCCAAGTGCTCTCGTACAACGACGTGTACGAGATGAAGCCCGAGGCCGACGTGACGCAGTACGGCGTCCTTGTCGGCGGCCCCTCGCGTGTCATCCCGGTGGCCCAAAAGCTCCGCAAGAACTACGAGAACAACCTCGTCATTTTCGCCGGTGACACCATGTCGCCGTCGCTCTGGTCGGGTCAGTTCAAGGGTCTCCAGATGATCGAGGCCCACAACGCGATCAAGGTCGACTTCGCATGCCTCGGCAACCACGAGTTCGACTTTGGCATCGACGCGTTCCTGAACGCCTCGGCCGCCTCCAAGTTTCCGTGGCTCAACGTCAATGCATACGAGGTCGCCACCAAGCAGCTCCTTCGCGGAACCCAAAAGTACGCGACCAAGGAGTTCAACTCGGCGACGATGGGCAAGATGAAGGTCGGTGCGTTCGGCGTCATGTACGACATGCAGGATACGTCCAAGGGCATGTACTGGACGGACCCGATCGCGGCCTCCAAGGAGGCTGTCGAGTACCTCCGCAAGGTCGAGAAGGTCGACATGGTCATTGCGCTCACGCACCAGTTTCTGGACGACGACAACCGCTTCTCGCAGCAGGTCAAGGGCATCGATATGATTTACGGCGGCCACGACCACGCGGCGATGCTCCAGTCCAACTTTGGCACGACGTACCTCAAGTCGGACCTCAACTTCCGCAGCATTTGGATCTCGGACATCAAGTACTATGGCCCGGGCCGCGACACCAACAACAAGGCGACGACGCCGTTCACCAAGATGAGCCACAAGAACCTCCAGATCACAAGCGGCATGCCGGTGGATCCCGATTTCGAGGCCATTATCAAGACGTACGACGACAAGATCAGTGGCCTCTTCAAGCGCAAGGTCGGCTCGCTCTGCGCCGAAACGGACCTGCGCAAGAACCTCGTGCGGTTCGCCGAAGCGCCGATCGGCAACTTTTTGCGGATGCGTTCCAGGTCTACTACACCAAGGCGACGGTCGATGCTGCGATCATGAACGGCGGCGGTATCCGCACCGACAAGCTCTGGCCCGCGGACGACCTCACGCTCGGCGACCTCATCTCGTGGTCGCCGTTCGGTGACTCGATCGTCGTTATCAGCACGGACGGCGCGAGCTTCAAGAAGTTTATGAACTACAAGATGGTCGACTCGTGCGGCGACAAGATGGTGGCCGAGAACGGCCACTACTTCCACATGGCCGGCATGACGTGGACGTTCACGTGCAGCGGCAAGGGTGCGGGCGCGATCACGAGCCTCAAGTGGGACGGCAAGTCGCGCACGGGCGACGTCATGGACAGCGACAAGCTCAACCTCGCGCTCTCGACGTACATGAAGGGTCTCTTTGACCAGGCGGGCGGCGTGGCCAAGTGGATCGTCGACCCGAACGAGGCGACGCGCATCGAAGCCATCTTGGAGGCGTTCATCAAGAAGAACAACGACAGCGTCTGCCCCAAGCTCGAGGGCCGCAACAAGGTCGTCCCGCCCTCGTAAATACCTAGTCCTTTTTGAACCCTAGTAGACGATTTTCTTCGTTTTCAAAACAGTGTTTGTTCGCGTGTGATGCAGTGTTTGAGATGATCAGTACTGAATTGCTGCTGGGCCTGTCTGGCTCCGAGTGGGTAGCAGACTATGCTGCATCAAGGAGGCACGAATCATCCCAAGAGGAAATTTTCTGACAAAGTCAAGACGGCAAGAACCGAACAGACAAGACATTTCTCATACGTCCGTCGTACTAGCTCGCCTTCGAGCAGGTAGTATTATTACCTTGATCTACTTGGCCTTGAAAATGTGAACGTGCTTCGCGTTATCTTCGTTGTATGTAGAGACTAGCAAGCTCTTTCTTCTTCGTCATGCGCTCACTGGGTCGTGCGCAGGCGGCGACGCGGGGTGCGTCTTGTTCTTCTTTAGTCACCCGCGCGCGCTTGGTGAGGCCCATGACGACAAGCTCCGTAAATTTCTTCCAGGCGTCGCGATCGACGGCAAAGCTACGCAGCTTGAGAGACGCCGGCGACTGAGGCGGCGTCAACGACTGGAGGTCGCGGTGCAAGACAATTGGCAACGCGATCTTGGCACGGCCTACAAAAAGGGGCGCTTTGGACGCGGGAAAGAAGCGGGCGGCGGCAAATGTTGGCAGGGGCGTCGTCCTTCACGCCCAGCACGTGCTCTAGCAGGCGCCAGCGCTGGTGGGTAACGATCTCGCTCAGCGGGATACTGTTGCAGCGGTCGTAGAGCGCGACGTCGGCGAGCGTGTGCCGGTGAAAGATACCTAGAAGACGACGCAGCTGCCGGCGATGGAGGCTGTCAAGACCCATCAGACGCGTTGGCGTCAGGGCCCACGTGCCACCAAGCTTCTTGGTCGTGTGCCACGCCAGAGAGGCTGCGTGCGTCGGCGCATCAGCCTGCGTCGACCTGAATACCTTCGTTTCTTCCGTCTTGTCTTCATTCATCTTGAGTTCTAGAGGCCCACCGGGCGGACACGGATGGCGCGCCGCTTTGATCCTGGTCATGGCAGCAGCGTCGTGGCAGATGAAGTCCGAGTCATTGGCATCGGCGACCGTGTGGGCGAGGAGGTTGCCCGCTTCGCGGGGCGTCTGCGCGAGATCCTTGAGCGCGGCTTCAGATACACGATCCACTGCGCCAGCGATAACGAGAACTGCTTCGCCTTCTGAGAGTTGCGTGCCACTAGTCTGACACTAATAGATGATGTGTCCGTCGACGGAGACAATCGTATTGAATTGGTGTTATCACCGTATCAGTGTTTTCCTAGCCGACAAAAAGCGATTTTGGCTCATGGAATGGATGTCGGTGAGCTCACTTGCCCTCTCCTTCCAAGCTTGTACCCGACGGGGAATGCGCTTATCGAGATGATACCTATAAAGTTCGGCAACGCAAAATCGTGGTTTTGTTAGTCTCGTCAACTACGGACGGTAGCCTAGTGTAGTACGGTGCTCGATGCACCGTGGGAACGACTCGAATTAAACGAAATCGAGCTGCGGCCTTCGAGGTTGGGGCACACGACGCCTTCTTTGACCTTCGTGTAGGTCTCGAGGACGAGGTCGATGCGTGTCGCCTCGTTCGCGTCAATCACGTACTTGGCCGTGCTGTTGAGAGCGTCGTCAAAGAGACCCTTCATGTACGTTGAGAGGGACATGTTGACCGAGTCCGCATCCTTGATGTCGCCCGACTTGCCGTTCTTATTGTCGTCCCACTTGAGGCTCGTGATCGCACCCATGCCCTTACCGCTGCACTTGTACGTGACCTTGACACCGGAGATCTGCGGGTAAAACCCGTTCAACGCGGCAGTGCCTTGGTTGCACGTCGGCGCGAGCTGGCTGGCCAGAAACTTCTTGAAGCTCGCGCCATCCGTTGAGATGACCGCGATCATGTTGCCGAACGGCGACCACGAGATGAGATCGCCGAGCGAGAAGGGACCAGCCGGCCAGACCATGTCCGTGCGGATACCACCGGCGTTCATGTAGCCGACATCGACCGTGACCTTCTTGTAGTAGGCCTTGAACGCATCCGCAAAAAGTTGCCCATCGGAGCTTCTTGGGTGCGGAGAAGCTTGCTCGTCAAGTCTGTCGGTGCGCAGAGCGTGCCGACCTTGCGCTTGAAGAGCTCGTTGATCTTGGCATCGTATGTGGCGATGACCGCGTCGAACGCCGGGTCGGACGGCATCTCGTTTGTGATCTGGAGGTTCTTGTGGCTCATCTTGGTGAACGGCGCGTACTTGTTCTTGCCTTCGGTCAACGGGCCATAGTACTTGATGTCCGAGACCCAAATGCTGCGAAAGTTGAGGTCCGACTTGAGGTACGGAGTACCAAAGTTGGACTGGAGCATCGCCGTGTGGTCGTGGCCGCCGTAGATCATATCGATGCCCTTGACCTGCTGCGAGAAGCGGTTGTCGTCGTCCAGAAACTGGTGCGTGAGCGCAATGACCATGTCGACCTTCTCGACCTCGCGGAGGTACTTGACAGCGTCCTTGGACGCCGCGATCGGGTCCGTCCAGTACATGCCCGTGGTCGCATCCTGCATGTCGTACATGACGCCGAACGCGCCGATCTTGATCTTGCCCATCGTCGCCGAGTTGAACTCCTTGGTCGCGTACTTTTGGGTTCCGCGAAGGAGCTGCTTGGTGGCGACCTCGTATGCATTGATGTTGAGCCACGGAAACTTGGAGGCGGCCGAGACGTTCAGGAACGCGTCGATGCCAAAGTCAAACTCGTGGTTGCCGAGGCACGCGAAGTCGACGCCAATTGCGTTGTGGGCCTCAATCATCTGGAGACCCTTGAACTGACCCGACCAGAGCGACGGCGACATGGTGTCACCGGCGAAAATGATGAGACTGTTGGCAAAGTTCTTGCGGAGCTTTTGGGCCACCGGGATGACACGCGAGGGGCCACCGACGAGGACACCGTACTGCGCAGCGTCGCTCTCGTTCTTCATCTCGTACACGTCGTTGTACGAGAGCACTTGGAAGTGGGCTGTGGGCGCGCGCGCCGTACCGCAGTCGCCGACGACGGCCGTGGCGGTCGCACCGAGAAGCAGCAAGAGCTTGGAGATGGTCGCCACCATGTGAGCGGAGAGGATCCTATCGGAAAATGAAACACTCAGGTTCGTCAAACTGTGATGGGTTCGGTTGCCGATGGGCCACAACGGCACGTGCGCCTGGAACCCTACGCCTGGAACCCTACCCCTCGTCTGCGTACGGTAACCAGGGTTACTGCATTCTTGTTTGGAGTCGAATCGTTGGCCCACTTTGCTTTTCTGCGCCAATCACGACCCGGGACTCTCTGGCGACAGTTCGTGAGTATCCCATCGCTTTGGCAATGTCGCCGAGCAGGCTCTGCACTGACCCTATCGATGCCCATCGAAATGATGTGCTTTTTGCTGCAACGACAAGAGGAGCTGACCAAGGCGAGCGTGCGCCTGCGTTGTAGTGTAGCCGAGACCCCTCCAAACCGGCTCTGCAAACCTGCTCGCTCACGCGGTTTGCAGCATCGCGCTTTGATGCGGCGGTGCTTGGTAGAAAAGTGTTGCTGCCGTTCGAGTGCGATCACATACCAGCGCAAAAAATCGTTCGCACAATCCAACGCAGACAGTCAACGCATTACACATCTGATCGTCTAAAAAGGATCCAAAGTCCTATCCAACGCTGGTGCAACCAAGGCCCTTGGATGCAACTGTCGTACGTACAGTGTAGTGTACTGAGGAGACGCCAAGAGGATTAATGTCTTGGGCTAAAGAAGACTACTACATGTAGTAGGTTCTGGATCCGAAGCGCCCCAAGCTCCACTTCGTGTCGATGGAGCTTGAAGAGTAGCGTTCACACACTCGCATAGGTGCAGTGGCTCGATGACGCCTCGCCGCGTCATGGCAGCACTGCTCTCCACTGCATCGAAGTCTCCGTCTCTTCAGACGCAGCTACCAGACGCCAAAAGTGAAATTCGCGAGCCAGAAAAACAGCGCCAGAGACGTTGCCAGGGCGATGGCAAGGTTGGCAACGCTTGCACTTGGGCACGGATTGTGCATGGATTGAAGATCCCATCGATGCGCAAGTCGAATCCAATTGACCAGATGTTCACCTGATAGAACGCCAGATCTCGTGGTCAGCAAGCACGCTGGCGTCACACGCCGAGCATATGTAGCACTGACCCGAATACAGTCGCTGAAGGTACTCACTCACTCGCACGTGCACTTCTGCGACTGTCGGCTACTAGCACTGGGTCACTTTCCAAAACGATGGCCAAGTGGACGTTCATCACCGCGCTGGCGTCGTCGCTCGCTCTCCACGCTGCTGTGGCCCAGACGCCGTGCACCGACATGGACCCGTTCGAGATCTACGAGACGACGCCGTGCGGCAGCAACCCGACGCCCGCACCGGTGACGTCGATCCTCTCGTTCTGCGCCTACAACCGCCAAGCGCTCTCCGAGTACTACGGCGACATCTACTCGGACGTGCTTCGCAGCAACAAGAACGAGCAGTTCGTCTACAACCCGTCGGCCATGACGCTCGTGTCCGAGTCCAACGGCCAGTGCCTCGACGCGTACCGGGACGACAGCGGCGCGTACCAGCTCCACACGTACAAGTGCATGGAGGGCAATGGCAACCAAAAGTGGGTCTATAACACCAACGCGCGCCGCATCGAGCACGGCACGCACCAAGGCCTCTGCGTCGTCGGTGGCTCGGCAGGCACCAAGGCGCGCGTCGAGCCGTGCAGCCAGAACCTTCTTCAGTACTTTAGCGACTGCAAGAGCCCGTCGAGCGTGAGCATCCACCTCCAGACGTGCTACACCAACTCGTGGCTCTCCGAGTACGACACAGGCCTCTACGCCGACGCGCTCCGCAACAACGTAAACGAAAAGTTTGCGTACGACCCCGTCGCGCAGACGCTGCAAGTCGGCAGCAACGGCCAGTGCCTCGACGCCTTCTCGACCGGCAACGGCAAGTTCGGTCTCCACACTTACGCGTGCGATGCGACGAACGCGAACCAGAAGTGGGTGCTCCAAGACAAGCTGGTCAAGCACGCGACGCACCCCAACTTGTGCCTCGATGCAGACCCGACCGACAGCGGCCACAAGGTGCAGGTCTGGGACTGCACGGAGTACAACAAGAACCAGTGCTGGAACATTTTGCGTGTCTAAAAACACCCACCATGCGTGGGCAACCTTAATCGTCTGCGTTGGTGGACTTGCGGCTGTAAACGTCTTGTGTGTTTCTGCGTTGCACGGGATTGTGTTGTGCGAAGGAGCGGACCAGGTGTTGAAGAGGCGAGATCGTAGTGTCAGCTCGAATATCTCGTTACTAATACATGATCGAGAAAACATTATCTGGAGGGAGCTGCATTGAAAGACTACTGTATTGAAAGGACCTCTTTAACCCTTTGGGGAAGTGGGAAATGGATGGATCTGGCACCCCCGGCCGCGTCTCATTTTTGTAGAGTGCTGGTCAAATAGATACCAAGAATGATGGTCTAGATCCCGAACCCGCCTCCGGACCACTCGACCTAAATCGTCTCTGTGACCCGCTGTCGTTCAGTGATGAGATAGCCGCCCAATATCAGGACGCCTAGATGTCGGCACAATGACCTTATTTTCATCGTGACCAGACGCTTTGACAATGATTCCGAGCCAAAAACCACGTCCAAAACCTTCAAACCTCGACGTCTGGGACGACTACCGCATAAATTGTGGGGAACAAACAAACGTGACTAATAAAAGCGAAGAAATGAAGCAGAGAAGATCGACTTTCGAAAGACATCCCATCGTCCCGTCGTCCATCGCCATGTCCTTCGAAAGTTGATATTTTATCGCCGGCAGATACTCTCTGCCTCACGCCGGCGCGGTCATTTTCAGGAGAATTCTACGCTTTTCTTTTGCTGTCAACGCCGTTGTCGCCATCGTGTCATGACTTGGCGGGCAATGCAGCCAATATGAACTCTCTGGTGTGCGCTAGAGGGCTATACATTGCACGGACACACATTATTCTCAATTCAGGATCAAAACCAAGGCTTTCAATAGAAAGAATGAGAATTGAATCTTGCGGTATGTGTTGGGTGCCATCTGCTGACACACTCTTAAAAAGGGAACTAAAAACAGCGCAATTTGCTCAAATATTTGCAAGAACCCCGTAATTGAGTGTTAAGTGGATCTGATTGGCCTCTAAGAAGGGAACAAAGGCGTTGTGATTGGCTGGTTTGCGAGTTGACCGGGTTTTGAAAATATAGGAGGCCAAATGTGTTTTTTTATTAAATTCGCCTCCAGGAGAGATGTTCAACGCTTGAACACTCTTCTGTCCATCGCGTCAATGTAGGAACCAAATTTGACTTTCCGCTCGACAAGTTCGAGGTGCTTGCTTTGGCGCAGCCACAGGACGCATCGCGCGTCCGGCGTCTCGTGCTCTCAACCAAATTGCCCATTGGAACGGTGGCGAGATATGCGTGCGATAAGAGACATATATGGTAATATGCAGTTGCTGGTCCAGCTCCAGCTGACGCAGATGCCACGTCAGCCGCCTCGGCAACGTCGATTGTGCAGTCATATTTGCTACCACATCAGGATGTTGATGTGTGCTGTGCTCTCAGCGATGCTCCTAATTGCGGTCGCGACGGGTCTCCAGACGCCAACGTACCCGCGCTTCCTCGACGCCACGCTCAACACGATCCTCACCAAGGTGGTTGCGACGGCCGGCGGCCGCGTCGTGCCGGCGGATCGCAGCAGCACTTTGTGACGCTAAGACACATTAACGCACGAGCTTCGGACGTTGAACGTGTGCTTAAGCCTCGCCAACGATACCAACCTCGCCAACGATACCAGCCTCACCAACGATACCAGCCTCGCGCTGTCGCCCTGCACAGCCCACCGCCGCCAGACGTGGACGATTGACGGCCCCGATAGCCGCATCTCGAACCGCGCCGAGCCGACGTGGACTTTGACAACACGGTGCGCGCGGCTCATTGCACGTCGCACGTCGAGGGCCCGTACCAAAATGTCTTTTTCAGCGCGGAAAACATCGTCTTGGCGACCGACGACGATGCGCATGTGGTCCGTACGCGCGATGCGAGCGTCGTCGTCGAGGTGCGGACGCCGAACGACCCGCGCCTCATACGTCCTTAAAGATTGTCACCGCAGCATGCATCCAATGTAGAGTGATCTGGCGTAGCCTTTTCCAATCGACGGTTGTCGATTCATTTGTGCACCCCGGTGTGATGCGTTGCGAAGCTGTCGGTGCGGGTTCCGAGCGAAATTTGTAGTTGGGCATGCCACGCTAGGTGGTGTGGAACAGAGTCGTACGAGAACAGTCGTTGATAGAACGCAGTGTTGACCAAGGACGATTCTACCAGGTTGACGAGGGCCGGTTGAATTGGTCTCGACACTCCTACAGACAACCAGAGTGGCTCGAACCGCAGCGACCAGTCATATCACGAAGCACCGATGGCCACGGACAAAGACTGCAGCCGCTACATGCATCCAATATGGAAAGATTGGGAGCAGCCCTTTTGCATCGACGCTTCAGGTTTAACACGTTCATTTCACAAAAACGCGCATTTTTACCGCTGTCGTCGCCCAGGATTGCGATAAATCGCCCGCACAGCAGTGGTGGTACGAAGCCAAGCAACTAACCAACACGGCGACGCCCGGCCACTGCCTCACGCTGGACGGCGCATCGCACATCGCTCTATGTGAGCAGCTTCCGTCGCAGCGTCTGTACTACGAGATATTCGACATGTTCCCGGCCTCGTCCGTACTCTCCGCCGCCCTGTGATCTCGTGGGGGCCGACGCGTTAAGCAGGATGCAGCGAGCTAGCAGATCTGGTCCTAGCTGTTCCAGCTTCCTCCGACAACGCAGGAGAAACTGTATGGTAATACAAAGTGTCGTCTTGCAAGCGAGAAGAGCTTAAAAGGACGCGTTCGAGGGCCAGCGCGGGAACGGGATGACGTCGCGGATGTTCTCGATGCCCGTGACGAAGCGCACGAGGCGCTCAAAGCCGCAGCCAAAGCCGGCGTGCGGCACCGTACCGTAGCGGCGGAGGTCGCAGTACCAGCCGTACTCGGCCGGGTCGTGGCCCGTGGCCTCCTTGATGCGCGCTTCGAGGACGTCGAGGCGCTCTTCGCGCTGCGAGCCGCCAATGATCTCGCCAATCTTGGGCACGAGGACGTCGGCGGCCGCGTCGCGGATGTTCTCGATGCCCGTGCGCATGTAGAAGGCCTTGATCTCCTCAGCCAAAGCCGGCGTGCGGCACCGTGCCGTAGCGGCGGAGGTCGCAGTACCAGCCGTACTCGGCCGGGTCGTGGCCCGTGGCCTCCTTGATGCGCGCTTCGAGGACGTCGAGGCGCTCTTCGCGCTGCGAGCCGCCAATGATCTCGCCAATCTTGGGCACGAGGACGTCGGCGGCCGCGACCGTCTTGCCGTCGTCGTTCAAGCGCATGTAGAAGGCCTTGATCTCCTTGGGGTAGTTGTACAGCACGACCGGCTTCTTGTAGATCTGCTCCGTGATGAAGCGCTCGTGCTCCGAGCCGAGGTCGTCGCCCCACTTGGGCTTCTTCTCAAACTTGCCCTTCTTGAGGTTCTCCGGCTTGTTGATGAGCTCGATCGCGTCCGTGTACGAGAGACGCACAAACGGCGACGCGATCGTCGACTGGAGGCGCTCGAGGAGACCCTTCTCGACGTTCTTATCAAAGAACGCGAGGTCCTCGGCGCAGTTGTCGAGCGCGTACTGCGCGCAGTACTTGAGGTAGTCTTCTGCGAGGTCAATGTCGTCGCTGAGGTCCGCGAACGCAATTTCGGGCTCGATCATCCAAAACTCGGCGAGGTGGCGCGCCGTGTTGGAGTTCTCAGCACGGAACGTCGGGCCAAAAGTGTAGCAGTCCGAGAGCGCGCAGCAGTGCGTCTCGACGTTCAACTGACCAGAGACCGTGAGGTACGACGGCTTGCCGAAGAAGTCCTTGGAGAAGTCGATCGCCTTGTTGTCGGCCGTCTTGGGCACGTTGCCGTCCTTGACGTGGTTGAAGAGCGTCGTGACCGCAAACATCTCGCCCGCGCCTTCGCAGTCCGACGCCGTGATGAGCGGCGTGTGGATGTAGAGGAAGCCGCGCTCGTTGAAGAACAAGTGCGTCGCCTGGGCCATCGCGTTACGGACGCGCATCGCCGCCGAGTGGATGTTGGAGCGCGGGCGCAGATGCGCATGCTCGCGCAAATGCTCGAGCGTGTGGCGCTTCTTCGAGAGCGCGTACGTCGAGGGATCCGCGACGTCGCCGTAGAGCGTCACTTCCGTGGCCTTGACCTCAATGAGCTGGCCCTTGGCCGGGCTCTCGACCACGTTGCCGACGACGCAAAAGCTCGCGCCAGTGCCGCCCGAGTTGATGA